TGCGAGCAGGCGCGCTCAAGACGCCGTGGGGTGTCGGCAAGTGGGGGATCGCGCTGCGGCCAAAGGGGCTGCCGGCATGCGCCCCTCCGAGGGAGTGCCTGTACATCGACTTTTCGGGCGCCGCTTCCTAGACACACGTCGTCGACACTCTCATCGACGTCCCCGGACACAGCCACGACACTTCCTGGCCTCTTCATGACACTTCCTAGACGCTTCGTAGACACCACCTGCTCGGCGCGGCCCCACAGCCATGCCTCGCATTCAGCTGTGAAGTCGCTGCACGTGAACAGGCGCCGCGCACCACGCTTCGTTCGACCTGTCTGCGGGCACCTTCCTGTCGACGCGGGTGGGCGACGGCGAGGAGGTGATTGGCAAAAGGCTGTGAGGGCTCTGTTCTGATACATTTTGCTTGCGTTGAGGTCACATACGCCATCGCGAGCTTTGGACGGGAGTCTCGGGTGTCGGGGCTCTGCTCTTCTAGAGTGCAGTACACAATCAAGATCAGCAGCTCTCGGCGTCCGGATCCGTGAGTGTGATTACGTATTTTATTGTGATATGCCCCGCGGAAGGCGATGTCGAGATGCGCGCGTTCGGCCGTTCGCGGCTAGAGCGCGCACGCGCATACACGGACGACCGGACGTTCGACGACAGAAATACGTAGGGACGAAGCATCGAGATCTGACGAATGTGAAGCTGCGTGAGAACGTGGGCAGCGGGGCTAAGGTAAGGTAAGGTAAACTTCTCCACACACACGAGGTGGTGGGGCAAGGGGGGGCAACCCTCGCGTCTCCACGTCTGACGACAGGAGCCCCACGGCATTCAAAGTGCAAGGCCCAGTGCGCGTGGGTGAGCGGTGTGTGTGTGTGTGTGTGTGTGTGTGTGTGTGTGTGTGCGTGTGCGTGTGTGTGTGTGTGTGTGTGTGTGTGTGTGTGTGTGTGTGTGTGTGTGTGTGTCTCACGTCACTGCATCCTCCGCCGGTTCCTCCCGTCGCCTCTTCTTTGTTCGAATGTTTTTCAGTCCATCCTTCACGAAGCCCTCCCATGTAGCTAGCGTTCTTGGCGAATGTCTCGAAATGGCCAGCAGGCGCTGTCTGCTCGCGGTCTGTGCGGGCCGCTCGTCCTCCTCGCCCTTCTTTCGTCCTCCCGTCCCTCCCCTCCACCATGGCCTTCTCGGCACTTCTTTCTCCATCCGCCTCGCCCTGCCTTTTCGCATCGTGCCGTTCGCCCTCCATTCGGTGACCTCCATGGCTGTCCGCCCCTTTTTGGGTGGCGCTCTCGATACGGTTGCGTCAACCTCGACGTCGCTGTCGCCCTCCCTGTCCCCGCCGGCGTCCGTGCCTCGGTTCGCGTCATCGGTAGCGTCTCCGTTGTTCCCTCGTGCCCCGCCGTCGCCCTCTCTGCTCGGGCCGTTAGCGATTTCGCTCCTCCTGCGTGTCGCCCCTCCGTCCCCTCCCCTTTCTTCGTCGTCATCGTCGCTGTCGCGAAAGCCCTCCGGTCCCTCGATTCCCTCGCCTATCCCCTCCGCTGCGTCGTCCCAGTTTATATCCTCATCCTCTGCGCACGTCGCGTTGGCTTCCTCTCTCCCCCTTTCCTCCCTGCCCCTCTCGCTGTCTGGTGTTAATGGACCCCCTTCCTCTCCCTCGCCACCGTCACCGTCTCAAAATGTGGGGACACGGGAATGCGCATTATCCATTTAAATTAGCTACCTACTAAACAGACATAGTACCTCCTCCCTCCGCTCATAGAACCTGTGCACCATTACCATGGGATGTGGTCAAGGGGTAGATGACGGATAGCGGCGCACGTCCTGCATTTCGTCCCAGCGTGCAGCGGCCGCTTGCTGAGGCGAGAACAACTCTGTGGAAGCTCGGCTTCCGAGACCCGCCCTCTCTGCGTACCTCCCCGTCGTCGCTCTATTCCTTCCCCAGAGCACCGACTCTCGGGCGCTCGCCTCAGTACTTGTCGAACTCTTTGGTCAGCTGCGCGATGGTCTTCCCCTTGGTCTCGGGCACCTTGTTGAAGGTGAACCAGCCGAAGAAGGCCGTGAGGGCGACGAAGATCAGGTACCTGCGAGGCGCCGCGGCGGTGAGAGGAGGGTCGCGTGCGGACCGGGCCACACATAGCACTGAGAAGGGGCTGAGGGAGAGGGAGGGAGGGAGGGAGGGAGGGAGGGAGGGAGGCAGGGAGAGAGAGAGACGAGAGAGCGAGAGATGAGAGAGAGAGACAGATGAGAGAGAGAGAGAGAGATGAGAGAGAGAGAGAGAGAGAGAGAGAGAGAGGGAGAGAGAGAGAGAGAGGGAGAGAGAGAGAGAGAGAGAGAGAGAGAGAGAGAGAGAGAGAGAGAGAGAGAGAGTGAGAGAGT